AAGTTTGGTACAAATCTCCGGTACCCGGATGCCATCCCGATGCATTGACGAAGTTCTTTCAGGTTTGTAGGAGGCCCGAGTTCTTTGACGGCGGCAATTTTGTCGAGGTCGCTATGGATGCCTTCTTCGCTGATCATGTGGCCCAGATATTTGATCCGGCTTTGAAAGAAACTGCATTTTTCCGAATTTATGCGTAGATTTGCTCTTCGTAGTCGAAAAAAAAACACTTCTAGATTGTGTAGGTGTTCATTAAAATCTCGCCCAATGACGATAATATCATCGAGGTAAGCGAATGCGTAGGGTTCCATATCGGCGCCAATTACTGTGTCGAGGGCTCGCTGGAACGTTGCCGGCGCTGAATGTAGTCCAAAAGGCATCACTTTCCATTGATAGAGGCCTCGGCCTGGTACTGTGAAAGCTGTTGCTTCTCGACTTCCGTTTGCCATTGTTATCTGCCAGTATCCATTCTTTAGATCGAGAGTGGTGATAAATCGTGCGTTTTGTAGACGTTCTAAGATGTAGTTGATTCTGGGCAGTGGGTACGCGTCCGGGATGGAATGATCGTTGAGCTGTCGAAAATCCACGCACATGCGCCATTTCCCATTATTTTTACGCACGAGTACGATTGCCGCGCTGTGAGGGCTTCGGGAGGGCTCGATGAGACCTTCCGTTATCAATTGGTCTACTTGTTCGTCGATGATTCGCATCATGGCCGGGTTTTTAGGATAGTATCGTTGCTTGATGGGTGGATTATCCCTCATGACGATGTTATGCTCGGCGATGTCTAAGGTGCCATGAAGGGCAGCGAACTTCGGTAGCTCTTCGTCCAGAAATGCTTGAATTTGTGGCGCCATGTCGGGTGGCCAAGGATCCGGGGCTGGTTCTGACTCGTCTTCGATCTCGGGGTCAAAGTGTTGGTTCGGGGCTTCGTGTAGGATGGTGGTATCAAACGCGCTGGATGGTTTGATTCTGCGGGGGAGTTCGCTGATGTGGGCGGCAATGGGTGTGGTATTGGTGGTATTGACCATGGGTACGATATTTTGGTGTGCTGGATGTAGTACTCGTGTTATACTACAGCCAGACTGGTGCATGAACAGGTGAGTCACGATGACGCCTCTGGTATAGCAAGATCTCGAAGATCTCGGACATGGCTCTAGGCATGACTCGGTGCATGTCGCTAAGAATCATGTCGGTACGAGGAAGGTACTCCAATGGGTTAGCGAAGATCTGTGTGGCGTCGGCCGTGGGTACGACAGGGCTGCGGTCGGTGTATCGTGGGGTCATCGTCCTGGTTTCCGGGCCCTTATTGAGGGGCTCTGTGGATATCCGCTAAATTATGGGCCCCGACCAGTGTGGGGTCAGCGTGGCTGCTTACCCTGTTGCTGGGCTGTTGATCTGTTGCTGCCGTTGTCGGTGTCGATGTTGTTATCTTGGTTCAAGGCTGATTGTCATCTCTGAGGGTGTTTCTGTGTTCACTTTATCCTTGTGTCCTTCCTGTGCCGAGCGCCGGGTTCCAGTGCGTTAGTGCTTGTTTCGTGGATGAGATTCTCGTAGTTTCTTTGGGGTGCGTCCCCTGTGGTTAGCCTAGGACGCAGTTGCTCCGTTTTCCCGGTTGCTTGGTTGTTGTTTCTTGTTGTTGGCTTCGGATTCGTGTTTGTGGGCCGGCGCTGGGGTTCGTATAGGTGTCATGTTGGCGTTGCTGGGTGCCGAAATCGTTGGGGTAGGTTGCGGACGTATGCCGGCTGCCGTTGGCTTCGGTTTCTGGTGTCGGGGTTCGTTGCCTTCTACTCTGTTTGTTGGAACGGTGTGGATAGGTGGTGTGGGGCACTGATCTCGTAATTGTAGAAATGTGGTACCGCACTGGATCGTTGTTTCAATGGCGCATAGGAAGTCCATGCCGACGATAACTTGATCCAACATGTTTGTGAGGACAAGGAGGGGTAGTTGAACTTCCCTTTGATCCAGCCTGATGTGCGCCAGTAGAATCTGGGTTAGATCTCTGACCAAGCCGTCGGTCAGGCGTATGCGGACGCATGCATCTTGTAGGTTGTTGTTGTTGTCTAGTTCTCGGGCGAGGTTTGCACTGATAAAGCTTCGGGATGCCCCTGTGTCGACGGTGGCTTCCGTTGCATGCCCTCCTATGGTTACCATTACCACTATCCGGTTCTCGTTCATGTGTAGCGGGGTTTTTATTCGTGGGTCGGGGGAGACGTCGTTCCCAGCTGATCCCGTGTCAGTCGAGGACGCGAGTCGTTTCCCGACGTGTTTTGTCAGCAACAATCGACGGTCCGTGTGCCGTGCTTGCCACATTCCCAGCAGAATAGGATCGAGGGATTTTGGCATTCGTATGCCGCATGATATGCTTCACTACACCGGCGACAGGCTGCGCGTGGGGGTCGTGATCATGCGATGTGCCACATCGGGCTTTGCCGTACTGGTTGGGCTGGATGGCTGTCTCCTTGGTGAGTCTGCCGAGTCCCAATGGGGCTTCCGGAATGGTGTCCGATTGGAGTCGCCGCTCCTCGGCTGTGTAGCCGGCCTTGCGTATCTGGGCGTGTGTCGTGGTGTTGCGAGAGTGATCGGGATGGTCCGCTCTTGAATACTCCCGAACTCCTTGGCCAGCAGTGTTAGCTGTGACAAGTCTTGCAGTTCGTGGCGGCGCACGTATGCGTTGTCGTAGATCCTGTTTAGCTCCTTGGCTGCGTCGTACCTGGAGTGGTGCATGAATAGGCGAAATCTTTGAACATTTCCCCCGCCACTTGTTTGCGGGCTCGTATCTGGTCCTCCAATAGTTCAAAATACCGTGGTGGCAAGAAGAACGTTAAGAATTCCTAGCGGAAATTTTCCCATGAGGAACTTTGTAGGCGGCTGGTGCGGAAACAACTACTGGCACGGTCTGTGAGAAGTTCGGCCATGGCCCGCGGCAGCTGGTTTGTGTCCACCTTACACGAGAGCACGCGTTCTTCGAGCAGTTCGATGAATGATAGAGGGTCATCTTGGCCGTCAAACTGGATTCCCCACTTCCGGATGCGTTCCGCCATTGGTGCAGCGTGGTTGTAGTGGTGCCCTTCCATGGGTCGGTCGATCGCTGGCAAGACCCTCGGTACGGGTGCTGGGTGGGTCTCTGTAGCTAGGGGCCTTGGAAACGGGGCGGCAGGAGTGCGGTATTCGGTGGCTGCGGGGACTCGTAGTCCGGTCTTAGGATCCATTTGGCGAGTGTCGGATGGTCCAGGAGTAGTGGGCAGTGGTGACTTGGAACGAGAGCGTGAGGCTGGCTTGGCATAGTGCCTCTCGAACTCTCCTAGGCGGACCCAGGCTTCTTGCGCGAGTGGCCCGGCGACTAGAGCGGCAAATTTCCTTCGGCGTTCATCGACCGTTCCTTCGCTGCCAAATCCGAATTCTTCGGCGAGGACTTCTAGCTCGTCCCGACAGAGTTTGTGGATCCAGCCGGTGCTGACCTGGTGCTGATTGGAAAAGTGTCCCGCAGGGTTTGCCTTCTCTGGTTGTTCCTCGTCGTGATATTCCATGGTGGTTTTTCTGTTGACTTTGGCACTGAGTTAAACGGCACTTTTAGGATCGGCACTGCGTATACATTTGCGATTGTTTTCGTGCCCGGATTACGTTAGTGAATTATTGTTGAGTTTAGCTTGTCTATTCAATTTTCCTTTTTCTGGCAGTGGGTCTTTAATCCACGAAGTCCCTGATTTCGGTTTTCTTGAAATTTTCCTTCAAAATCCTTTAAAGTCCCTATCGACTCGAAAGCGAACTGGAAAGTTAACTACCGATTTGCGAACTGCTGGCGAACTCAAAGTGAATTGCTAGCGAACTGCAAACGAACCGCCTTAGTACAGGGAGAACTCAGATATATATAGCGTTTTCCTATTCTTAATAGGGACAGTGCTGTTAGGTATGGGACATTGGTTTTGCTGTTGGTTATATGGGGGTTGATTATATAATATTGGCCAGCACCTTTCCGTCGATTGGCCGCACGTGTGCTGCATTAGCGCTTTTCTTTCTTTCTTCGGTCGACGTCTTTCTGTCTTTCGATCTGTGCTGCGTCTTTGAATTTGTTGGTGTTGATATATTCTCCTTGAAGTAGCGTTGGTTGATCCGACTGCTTGTGACGAACCATGGTATCCATGGTTCGTTACATGACTGTTATTTATGCTCTACTATGTCGCATTATTTGCATTATTTGTTCGACGGTGCAACTGGGCCCCCTTGCGTCTTGCTGGCATTTTTCACCTTAGCACAATTACAAAATTGCCAAAAAACGTAACAAAAACACAGAAAGATATTGGGTCGATATTATATCACAAATCAACACTGACAACTAAATCTCTTGTTCAAAAATCATTAAACATATTTAATGTCAAAAAATAAAATGACAGTTGATAAAAAAAAATAAAATACCGAAATCCCATTTAAAAGTTAATTGGTGGCAATATGAAATCAACGAGAAGGAACGTTTGATTCGCTTCAGGGTACATGCAGATAGCAGATGTAGCAAAAAATGTAAAATATAAAAATTTTTTAAATAATAAAAATAAATAACTCATTGGCTGAAAAATTTATGTACTGACTGAGTACGGATATAAAAGTAGAGTCGATCCTTCTCGTTAGAGCTAATTAACACTCTGTTTGACAAGTATTTGTGTATTTCGCGAAACGTGGTCGATTTTTATTCCTGTGAGTTCGCAGCACAACCGCCCGTGTCTATGTTTACTTATTTTTTAGATGACAGATGTAGCAGCAAAATGGCAACAGATAAAATATTTTAAAATCTGACTGACTGTTCTAGTTGAATCTTTAATAAAGATGTGGGGGTACATTGTAAATTCGAATTATCAGGATATGATCTAATCGTCCAGTCCTACAGCCTTATTTTGTTTTGTCTCGTGCAAAGTATATTCAAAATGTTCTATTTTGTCGCACAGTGAAGTTTGCGCTTAATTTTACTAGAGAAGTGTAGTGATTTTCGTATTACTGCTTATACTTACAACGCTTGCTCCTCGTAGTGTTATCCCATTAAATTGCCCTCGGTATTCTGTGCTTTGTAGCTTAAAAATATCTTGAACTATATTCAGGTAAAAATCTCCTTTATAATTCTTTACCGTTGCTATTAGTTGTAGTTCTAAGCCCGATTGTAGGTGACGTCCTTTTGAATGAATATCCCAAAGATAGTAGTTGTTACTTGTTTTATTAACGTAGGTTATTTGAGCGTTTGGACCAACATATTCCAGTTCCATTGGCAGTAAATATTTAACTTCTACTCCAACACCCCATAATAACCACTGATAGGTTTTGTTAAAGTATTTATTTGCAGAAGCATCAGCCAAAATACTAATTGCAGCATTACATCTGGTATTTACTATAACAGAAGTTCTACCATGGCTATTTCGGGCCAGTATAAAGGGTAGATAGTACCTTTGGTTCATATGTACATAATTAAAAAACTGGTCATTTTTCATAAACGCAGAAGCAATAAGCAGCAAATCTGTTGCAATTTGAAAATGAAACACATGTATATAATTAATTTTTTAGAAAAACTTTGTATTAGTGCCGCTAAACGGAAAAGGTTCAGTAGGTAATATCGCTATATCTTTTCAAAAAACTTATCGATTTGGATCAAATAATTAGTTTTCTATGGAATGATTGGATGTTAATTAAACATGAAACTTTTAATTTTTAAATGTTTCTAAAAATCTACAAGAAACATCTTGTAGATGATGATGATGATGATCTTCAAGAAATTTGTAGATCTGCTGGAATTTAAGGTTCAAGGCTGGCCTTGAAATGACCAAAAGAGCAGTAGGAAAGGTGGGAAAATTGATGAAGCGATAACTTCTGTTGTTTTGGTTATTATTAATGCCTTTACTCATTTTACTTGTTTACAATTCGAGACCTGCTTGTCTTGCTAGTTGTGCTGTGGGCTGGTGGACTGCTCAGTGTAGTGTCTTGAGTTTATGACTGCCTAGTGCAGTGTCTTGCGTTCGGGCTGATGGACTACCTAGTGCGGTGTCTTGCGTTCGTGCTGATCGACCGCCTGCTTCTTTGGCCGATCTTGGCCCTTTTATGCAGCTGGCGATCGCACCTGAGACCGTGATTTTCCGCGGTCTATCTTTCACCCGGAAATAATTAATTATTGCTAAGTTATGACTATTGGGTGACAATAATTGTGTGGGCGTGTTAATTGGGTCGAAGCTTGGTGATTCGTTGACAATTGGCTAGTGGGTTAGTAGTGTTGAGGAAGTGTTTTGTTGAGACTGCAGTTTGGGATTGGGCTTGAGTGATAGCTGAATTTGAGCCGGTGCACAGTGGGCGAAATGGCCATTCTAGCGGCATTTAATTAATAACAAGCGTATCTTAAAAGACATCGCAATGAAATTTGGAACTTAAGACGATTGCTATTAGCAGAATGTCTCTACCAAATTTCATTTGAATCGGTCAACTATATCATAAGGCAGGATCCCGATCGGTCAAAAATGTTCACATATATGATAAAATCGTAAAGATGATTTTATGCATCAGAACTCCATAGCATATGTATAACTTATACATATTCAAGATTTAAGTGGGGTTGCTGGTGTTGTCGTGTTCTTCGTAGTGTGCCGTTGCTTCGTATTCGTTGCGATTGGTTTGGGTGCCAAGTTCTGCGTTGCCTTATTGGGTGCCGTGTGCGTTGTGGTAGGTCGTGGACGTGGGTTCCTTGCGATTTGTTGGGGTTTCTGGTATCGGGGTTCGGCGTCTTGTAGCTGTAGCAGCGTGGTGCCGCATTTGATCGTCGTTTCGGTGCCACCTAGGAAGTCCATGCTGACAATAACTTGTCCCATCGTGTTTGGCAGGACCAGGAGCGGGATTTGAACCTCTCGTTGATCCAGCGTGAACTTGTGAGATCTCTCTGACCGAGCCATCGGCCAGGCGTATGCGGACGCATGCATCTTGCATCTTGTTGTCTAGTTGTCGGGCAAGGCTTGCGCTGATGAAGCTTCTGGATGCCCCGGGGTCGATGGATAGGATGGAGGGATTATGGCAGTCATATGCCGCATGCCCCGCTTCACCGCACCGGCGACAGGCTGCGCGTGGGTTGGTGATGGGGGTCGTGATCATGTGATGGGCTACGTCGGGATTCGCCGTACTGTTTGGATGAGCTGGTGGTCTCCCTGGCGTCTGGTGTGAGTCGCAATTCCTCTGCTCTGTGGACGGCCTTGCGTATCTTGGCGTGTTACGCGGGGGTGCGAAAGTGGTCGGGATGGTCCGCTCTTGGATGCTCTTGAACTTGGTGGCCAACATTGTGAGCTGTGCTAAGCTTTGTAGTTCGTGTCGCCGCACGTACATCTGGTATGCTGGCAGGGCGTTATCGTAGATCCTGTTCAGTTCCTTGGCTGCGTCGTACCTGGCGTGGTGCATGAGTAAACGTATCTCGATGAGGTAATCCTTGAACAATTCTCCTACCGCTTGCTTGCGGGCCCGGATTCGGTCTTCCAATTGTTCAAAATGCCGTGGCGGCAGGACGAAAGTCAAGAATTCTTGGCGGAAATATGCCCATGAGCTACCTTGCAGTTGGGTGGTGCGACTGGCCCGATCGGTGAGAAGTTCGGTCATGGCCAGAGGCAGCTCATTTGTGTCCACTCCAAACGAGAGCGCACGTTCTTCGAGTAGTTCCAAAAATGCAAGTGGGTCGTCCTGTCCGTCGAACCTGATTCCGCATTTCCGAATCTGTTCCGCGATGTGAGCGGTGTGGTGTCGTGTGGTGTGGTGTCGTGTGGTGTGGTGTCGTCCATCTATGGAAGGGTCAATGGCTGGCACAATCCTCTGTGTGGGCGAGCGACTGGTCTCCGTAACTGGAGGTCTGGGCAAATCGGCTGGCGTTACGATGCGTGGTGGGCAGGGTGTGCTGTATTCGGACGCGGTGGGGACTTGTAACCCGGCTTTTGGGTCCGTTTTCCGCTGGTCAGATGGCCAAAGAGTGGTGGGCATGGGTGACTTGGAGCGTCCTGCTGGTTTGGCGTATTGCCATTCGAGGTCTCCCAGTCGAACCCAGGTGTCCTGCGAGAGTGTTCCGGCGACTAATGAGGCGAATCTCTTTGGTCGTTCCTCGACAGTTCCTTCGTTGCCAAATCCGAATTCCTCGGCAAGGACTTCAGCTCGTCCCGACGGAGTTTGTAGATCCAGCTGGTGGTGACGCCTGGATTGGTATGGTGTCCCTCAGGGAAAAATTCATCTGTTTGGCCGTCTCCGTGGGCTTCCATGGTGTATTTCTGCGGTTAGTGGCACTGACTTACGTTTTGTTTGTGGTACTTATGTACGGTAGCACTTTCGTTCGACACTCGTAGAATCGGCACTGCGGCACTGCTTGTTCGCGACCGGATTTTGCGTGGGCGCGGGTTTGGTGCTTGACGGGTATTTCTCCTCGCGAGACTATTCTCTTTCGGTGGCCGTGGGTCTTTAGTCCACGAAGCCCCGTGTTAAGGTGTTCTCAAATATTCCTTAAAGTCGCATTAAACTTATCAAAAGTCCCTGCTCGGGCGCCAACTGTAAGATACCTATTTCAGGCTGGGATATGCATCAGCCTGTCCAAGGTCCTCTACAAGAAATTTGTAGATCTGCTGGAACTTAAGGTTCGGGGCTGGCCGTGAAATGACCGAAAGAGCAGTAGGCCAGGTGGGAAATTTGATGACTTTTTAAATGTTGTGCTGTGGGCTGGTGGACTGCTTAGTGCAGTGTCTTGTGTTCGGGCTGATAGATTGCCTAGTGCAGTGTCTTGGGTTTGGGTTGATGGACGGCCTGTGCAGTGTCTTGGGTTTGGGGTGATGGACTGCCTGCTTATTTGGCCGATCTTGGCCGTTTTATGCAGCTGGCGATCGCACCAGAAGCCGTGATGTTCCACGGTCCTTCTTTGACCCGGAAATAACTACTTATTGCTAACTTATGATTATTGTGTGACAATACGCGTCCGCTCTTGACTGGGATAATTGCATCGCGCAAAGATCCTGGTTCGCTTCAGCAAGTTGTTTAAGCAAGTGTACTTAAAGGTGCCACTGCATCGCGCAAGGGCATCTAGCAGTCACAATAGTAGCAATTAAAGGAGACATGGGTACCACTGCATCGCGCAAGGGTATCTAGCAACCACAATAGAGAAAAAAAAGAAAAAAAAGAAAAAAAAAAAAAGAAAAAAGGAGGAGAAATTTTTGTAATTCAACAAATTAGAGGAGACAGGGGTATCTAGCAGTCACGATAAAACAATGGCACAATTAAAAAAAAAAAAAACGAGAAGGAACGTGCGAGTCGCTACTGGGGACGCGACTCTACTTATACCAGAACTCAGTCAGTATATACATTTTTAAGCATATGATTTTTTAGAATTTTAGAATAAAAAAAAAAATTTTCTATATTACATTTTTTTGCTAGATCTGATATCAACATCTACAATGTATATTCTACATCTAACATGTAGATTGTACATGTTCCATATCTCCTCCGCTAGGTGTTGCTCGCACACTGAACGCGGCAGAGTGTGCGAGCGAGATGGAAAATGATTTGCATGGTCGTCGGCAGGATGGGGCAGGGGAAGCAACTGAAAATGAATTTCTTCATTCTGGCTATAATTATGATCCGATCTGATTCAGATTCGGCAATCTGGTAGATATGGTCATTTTCTACGATACTGCGTTCTTAGTTTTATCGTATCTTTAAAAGTGTGGCTGCCACTGATTTTCGTCTTTTGCGGTGGCGGAAGGGGGCGGGGCGAAATTTTGAAATACACTTGCAGCAGTGGGATATCACATAAGTCTGGAAACCAAATTTGGTTGTCCTAGCTCTTATAGTCTCTGAGATTTAGGCGCTCATCGAGACAGACAGACAGACAGACATGGCTGTATCGACTCGGCTATTGATGCTGATCAAGAATATATATTCTGTTAAGCTATTAAGCGTTTTTAATAGCTATTGTTTTAGGGCCTAATTTTAATAAAAGAGCCGAGAAGGTTTATTATAATATCAATTTATTAATGTTTAGTAGCGGCAGTACGCGTATTGCTAAAGGTATAAAGACCGACGGTTCTGATGATCAATAACAGAATGTGAAAAGGCAGGCGGGCCGAATCGCCCGTGCCCTAATGCAAGTGAGCGAGAGAGCAAAATAAACGATAGAAGCTCGGGCTGCTGCTGACCCGAGTACGAGCAATAGATAGAGAGAAAGAATGCGAGAGAGCAGCATAGATGAAGAGAACGATAGCGCGGATACAATATTTATATGCAGTGGGCAATGCAAATAGCAAACAAAGGTGAAATTACGTTATTTTGCGCCACTGGCTATTATTCGAGGAATTTGTTGGGGAATTTGAAGCTGGGAAACCAGACATATACTTTATGGGGTCGGAAACGTTTCCTTCTCTGCGTTACACACATCCACTTTTACCACAAATCTAATATACCCCCTACATTTTTTTTTGAGTACGGGTATAACAACTGGGGGAATATACACAGCGAAGAAAG